AAGATTATCTTCAAAATGTAGTTCACAAATCCGATAACTATTATAAAGTATATCCATTTTTAACAATAAATCTTCTCGTCTGCAAGCTTCTATCCACATTTTGGCACTACAAATTTTTAACAGAACAAATTTTAAACAAAAAACTTTTTGTATTAGTATATTCTAAGTGTATTGTAAGTAATGAAGTATTTAACTTTTGTCAATATCTCATCTTAATAAATTTACAGTTTTCTCCTGATTAAGTCACAAAATTGTCACTAAATATTGAGATATACAATAAATAAAGTTTTAATATTTTTTATTTGTAATTCCCATTTAAATATTTATTCCCTAAATATGTTGTGTACTCCGATCCATATATTTGATCTTTGTTATTTATATTTAACGAATTAAACATTGACAGACAACATTTGTATATAGCAAAAAGTAAATGAGCATTTAGTTTTTTCATAATTTAATGTAAGTTTGTTTGGTGAAAAAGACAGCAAATATTTTAAGTTATGTTAGTGTAAGTTTGTTTATTTGCAATCATGTTTTTATTTTGAAGTCTTGTTCTGTTGTAATTTTAAGATTTTCCCAATTATCGGTCTAATTATGTTTCCAACAATTTTTAGTTTGAGCATTTTACAAATTTCTTTGTTTCGTTTAAATCAAATATTCTCGTGTATAAAACCCTCTATATATTTTTATTTCCTAAAAATACTATATTCGTATTGTTGTCTGCGAGTGCTTTCACACCAGTAGGCCAACATCTGTTGATTTTTTGACCTGAGCCTTCGGAGACAATAAATTTAATGTGTATTCGTAGTTCTCTGGTTTTTATTTTGAACTATCCCTTGGCAGACCAAAATTTATTTTTTTTATTGCTCCACTTAACGAGAGCTCGGACGGACACGTCGGCGTCGGCTTACTGATCGAAAGTCAAATTAATACTATTATGTAATAACTAATAATAATTACAAAGCACTAGTAATTACCTGTTATTATTCTTAGGAAATCTAAATAAACTTATTCCTTTTCCTGTCACAGATGAATATCCGCGAAACGCACAACAATAACCAGAAGACATTTTAAATACTTATAAATTAAACTTTTAACTATAAACTTATATATTTAACTTATATATTTTAACTATAACTATAAACTTTTAACTACTAAGTAAATTAGATAAATGATCAAATGCACTTGTATAGTCGAGAATTTACCACAGGTGCCTACGGACTATCGTAAGCGACCAGAGTTTAAGAAAACGCACGTGTTTTTGACAGTAAAGCAACCAATTTCGGTCATGCGTATACAGAAAAGATACACGGATTTCGACATGGATATACAGACCGAGAGTTTGGTACAAATTCTACGGCTTCGCGCAATCGTACTTGTAAGTTCGTGAACTAAGTCGACTGGAGTTAGTCGACCTACAATTTGCCAAATTTAAATGTAATCGTTTCTACTCATTCATATTAATATTATAATGTATAATATATTAAAGTTTTTAATATTGGTAATATTATTAAAGCTTTTAATATAATTTTTTTATATTATTAATAATATTAAGTAATTAAATATTGCGCCTTGCTTAAAAAAAGTACGAGATAAATAACTCGTTTTTTATATCTTTACGTATGCTAAGGGTCTTCTTCTTCTTCGTCTAGCCATTCACGTCCATATCTGAACATAAGCCTCTTCAAGTCTTCCTTTCCATTGTTTTTTATTGTACGCTACTCGTAGCCAATTTTTCCCGGCAGTCCTTTTCAGATCATCTGTCCATCTCATAGGAGGTCTGCCTCTGGGTCTTTTGTGTTGGTATGGTCTCCAGGTTAAAATTGATCTGTGCCATTTGTTTAGATCGCTCCTAGCTACATGTCCAGCGTATTCCCATTTCAGCTTTAATGCTTTTTGCACCACATCGGTGACTTTGGTTTTCTGTCTTATCCATGTGTTTGTTTTCTTGTCCTTAAGTGATATACGTAGCATTGCTATTTCCATCGCGTGTTGAGTGACTCTAAGTATATTCATATTCTTTTTTGTGATTGTCCATGTTTGTGCCGCATAAGTTAATATCGGAATAATGCATGCATCAAAAACTTTAGATCTAAGATATAATTGAATTTGTTGCTTTCTGAGTATATAGTTCAGTTTACCGAATGCTGCCCAAGCTAACTTTCTTCTTCTTTTTATTTCTTCAGTCTGAATTTCAATATTTAGGATTATTTTTTGTCCCAAGTATGTATATTCTTCAACTTTATTGTTTATTATTGTCACGGTGTCTTCGGAGTGCATGACTTTTGTTTTGTTTAAATTCATTTTCAGTCCTATTTTAGAAGATTCGGTATGAAGTTCTACAAGCATGGTTTGCATTTCTTGTAGGTCAGTAGCTATCAGGATTATGTCATCTGAAAATCGTAGATTACTGAGGTAGCGGCCATTGATGTTTATTCCCTTATATTTCCAATTTAGGTTTTTAAAAACGTCCTCCAAAACTAAGGTGAACAGTTTGGGTGAT